AGAAACTTTTTAATATTTATTTTTTTTTTAGTTTTCGGCAGACACAACATCTTTGTTTGTATGTGGTGCTGAGAATCGAACCCGGGCCGCACGCATGCCAGGCAAGCACGCTACCGCTTGAGCCACATCCCCAGCCCCCAAATCTAATAATTTTAAAATAGTGTAATCCAACTTAACCCTACTTCATCTGTGCTATTGTTGTGATGACTCTATGTACCTTATAAACCCACATTTCATTGTTAGATTTTTTTAAAAGAGTTGTCTTTAAATAAAATGATAAGAATATAAAAATAATTTTAATTTATCCACTTTACTATTTCTGCTACTCTTCTTCATGTGTAAGTTTTCATCTCATATAATTTGCTTTCATTCTTAGGAAGATCTTTTAGTATTTCTTTTTATTACAGTTCTGTGATAAGTGTTTATTCTTTCAGCATTTCTAAGATATAATTTATTTGTCTTCTGATTGCTACTGTTTTATGAAAATTTTTTTTACCAATATATGTTCCTTGAGTTTTTTGAAGTTATTAGTATTAGCTGTATTAAACACTTCTGTGGTAAACAGTCATCTTGAGTTTTATTAATGCCTTTTTAAAAAATTTGTTTCTGCCTATGTACAAAATTTCTTTTTGTGCATGTTTATTAATTTTTGTTCAAAGGACATTGTGGAAACTCTGGCTTCTGTTATTTTCCTTTATGGAATATTGATTTTTTTTTTCATTCCTGTAGACTGTTCAAGTTGTGTAGACTTGGCTTAGTATTCTATGGGCAAATCTGTGAAAGTCAAACATGTATCCAAATCCCTCCAACCTAATGGACACAGCTTACATACTGTCTATCTGAGGATCTGAGAGGCTTGCTTTTATAGCCTTTTGTATGCAAGTTTAGTGTAGGTTTAAGGTATAGTCCTTATGGTGTTTCAACTGGATGCCCATGTGTTCACAAGTTTTTAGGAAGATGTCTCCATATTGCTGTATCCTTGGTGTCTCCCAGCCCTGTTTAATTTGTAATCCTGGTTATGTTTTTTACCTGTAGCAGCTGTGCTCCATTATTCATTCAGTGCCTGCACATCCAGCCCACTAATTCACAGTCCAGGACTGGCAGAGGAATCTAGTGGGCAGCTTAGACTTCTCTAGTGCTCCGTACCTAAGATTCCTGCTTCTTTAACTGCTGTGAACTCAGACCTCTGCCTTTTCAGCTCAGTGGGCCTATGGTGGTATACCTGGACTCCAGTTGTACCCAAAGAACCATATTATCAAATGAGAAATTTATAGTCAGCTTTGAAATAATCACAGTAATGCCATTTATACCTATATTTTCCCAGTCCAGGATCCAACCCAGGATCAGGCATTGACTTTAGTTGTCGTTATCAACTCTCTCCTTTAATCTGAACAATCTTTCTTTATGTTTCTGAGCTGAAATTGTGGGGTCAATTTGTAGGATCACCATGCTGTACTGCCTGTTGTTCAGTGCCAAGTACAGTTTCCTCATATATTTTGTCCTATTCTATGCTGGTTTACAGTGGGAGGTTCGTTTGGTACTCTTTTCTTCATTATAGCTTAGGTACGTCTCCAGGCTTTCAAATTTGAAATGATATATATCCTGATCCTAGGAAAAGAACATTTAAGTATTGTTTGGTGTCAGGATTACTTACAGGTCAAACAAATTAGAAGCATTATATTTTGTGTTTTAATTTCAGTCTTTTTTGTTAAACTTAAATAAGCATTTTTTTCTTGTCTTTTACACAAAATGTGAATATAGATTCACACATCTATATTTATTTAGATCTACATCTCCACCTAAACCTTGTATTTTCATATTATCTTTTTATATTACATTAGTAAGACTATTTCTGTATTTTTTTCTTAAAGTTTTTTTTTAGGTGTAGATAGACACAATACCTGTATTTATTTTTATGTGGTGCTAAGGATCGAACCCAGTGCCTCATGTGTGCTAGGCAAACACTCTGCCACTGAGCCATAACCTTAGCCCACTATTTATGTATTCTGATCCTGATACTTTCTCATGAATCATTCCATAATGTACAGGGCAGAAATATAGAGCTATCCAATGGCATCAAGTTCAGAGTTTCCATAGAAGAAAGACTCTTCTGGTATTTTTTTTTTTAAGGGATGTTTGTAGGGAAACGTTCTTTTTAATGATACCTTTATAAAATTGTGGTATTCCATATTTTAACAAAGTCATTAAACCTTACATTGAAAATATTAGGACAAGCCAATATCCTTTTACAATGGTCTAAAAAAAGGGCACAACATCTCAGTAGTGCCATTCTTATTAAAATCTAAGAAATCTGATCATAAAGAAACTTCAGATAAATTCAAATTAAGAAAGAGTACAGTAATTGACTGTACTCTTCAAAAATTTCAGCTCAGAAACACTAAGAAAGGTTGTTCAGATTAAAGGAAAGAGTTGATAATGACAACTAAACTCAATGCCTGATCCTGGGTTGGATCCTGGACTGGGAAAATATTAGCTATAAATGGCATTATTGTGATAATTTCTAAGCTGACTATACATTTCTCATTTGAAAATATTATTGTGTTAATATTATATTTTCTGATCTTTACAACTATGCTGTTATTATGAAAGACAGTGTTTTTGTTCTAAGGAAATATATGCTTAAATTCTTAGGGATAGAGGCATGATGTTAATAACTTTAAAAGTGATTTAGAAAATAATATGCAAGTCTCTTTCTTTCTCTCCTCATCTTCTTCCCCCTCTCTCATATATATATATATATATATATATATATACACACACACACACACACACACACACACATATGTAGATCTATATATAAAGTCTTAAAGCATGTAGTGCAAAACATAAACAATTAATGAATCTCTGAGTAAAAAGTATGTGGGAACGTCTTGGGCTAAATTGAATTTTTCTTTAGTGTTATACCAAAGAACAGAAATCTATCATTCTACCGTAAATAAAAAGGCACACAGATTTTGAATTATAGCCTTATATCGTAGAAATTATTGGAGAGATAGTTTACTTGGTTCTTGTTTCAGATATTAAGTTGTTTATATTCTTTTCTGTTTGTGTGTTTGCTTCACTTTCTTCTGCATACTTCTTCATCTACTTTCTCTTGATTATAGTGCTCTAGAACATTCCAGTTTCTCAGCAAAATAGTCTGATGGAAAGTCAAATATATATAAGGAGCTATCCTAAAATTAAAAGAACAGAGGTGACAGGATTCATTCCTTACAACTTAAAAGAATATGTATGGACAGTAGATTCTGATAGAGCTCATTTTTAACTATAATTCTAATCCCACCACATATCATTGTGTGGCTTTGGGAAGTTGTCATTTTGATACCACTTCTTCTTCTTTGACTTTCCTTGACCGTACACAGATTTGCTGTCTCTGTTGTGATTCTTGAGAGAATTTGAATAACCACTTATTCACCAGGTAATCAGTCGCTTAAGCAAATATTAGGTGTTTATTTCTAATTTGGTCAATACAGTTTCAGGTGGGACAGGTGAGAGGTGGTGAATGGGATACCATAGACAGTTACATAGTATTTAGGGCCAACCCTCAGAAGCTGAGGATATAACAAGTCCTCTAAAAGGTATTATGGGGACATCTGGCAGTGAACTGTGTCCTCTACACCTGGCCAGTTTTGTTATACTGACTTTTGTGCTTTATTTAATAGACCCCAAAAACACTTCTGTTAAGGATTGTCTTATTTATTTAGATCAATCAGTTCCCTTTCAGCAAAGATAGGGAGGAAGTACCTCGTGATTTATAGGCACGGGAAAAGAAATGTTCAGACTTTTTCCTTTTGCATAGTAAATAGGCAACTGTCTCCTTTACTATTTATAATGGTTAAAAGTTAGAAACTGTTATGTAGCTTTTATTTGTAAAATTTTAATTTGGCTGTATGTTTATGTTGTTTATATTAATTTTGTGTTTGAAATAAGTGAAATATAAAATGCATCTAAAAAATTTCAAGAAACTATTTTGAAAGCACATTTCTAATATTTTAAAAGGACATTTTTTCTTAAGATTGTAGATGAATATTTCTGCATACCTACTTTGTATACTTATTGTACTGAGAATGGTCCCTTAAGTTATTCCATTGAATAGAATTTTCATAGTCATTGAGGGAAGCATGATTTTCCTTATGTGCAGAAGAGGAAGTGATGTCAAAGTTATGACTTGTCCAAAGTCACATAATTGATATATAATGGGATTAGAATTATAGTTAGAAATGAGTTCTGTCAGAATCCATTCTTTTAAATTGTAAGGAATAAATCATTACTACTGTTATTTTAATTTTAGGGTACACTCCTTACCAATAAGCATTGATGATATTTTTTCTGGTTCTGCCTAGAACACTGTTGCATGTAGTGTTGGTGGGTAGGACAGGAGCTGTTAAGGGATGCTTGAAAAGCTACAAGGTCATTGCCTTGAGGGATTGGTAGTCTGTGATCCCAGGAGAGGGACGTGTGTTTCTCAGTAATTTGCTATTTTTAAGGGTTTTATGCGCAATCTATCATGTTTTAATATATAGGATACTGAATAAAAAGAATATTTAATATTTATTCAAAATAAGAATATTTTGAATGAAAATGTAGATGTGAGCAAAGGAACCAAAGGTTGGAAGAGATCTATTAAAATAAAAAATAATAAGGGCTAGAATACTATGTGGATGTAAATGTATAAGCAGAATACCACTATAAAAGGACATTTTTTGTGGGTGATAGAAGGAGGTAGGGGATAACTTAGGTGATTTTCAGTTTTGCCTACAAAGTGAAATTTATTTTAAAGATTTTTAATTAGTTTGGTAGTAATTGAAAGAATGTAGTCGATATATTTGTAGATGTAGTATGATTGCTAGAACATGGGCTACAAGGTAAAAGTGGAAAATAATACTTTTTAAAATGTAGGGCATTATTTTAATTTAATGGTATATTTTTGCCAAAGGGTAAAGTAAATTAATTATAACTTTGCAATATTTTCCTTGAAGTTGGACATGAAAACAAAAATGATGGAAGCAAAATTTCATGAAGAAAAACTTAAACTTCAACAGAAACATGATGCTGATGTCCAGAAGGTAGGGCACATATGCTTATTAATTTTATTTTTATTGAATATTGAAAATATTCTAGATCTTGTGATGATCCATTTATTTATCTACCTCTCAAACCATCCACTTGTTTGTGCACCTTATGATAATCTGTCTTATAAATGGAATTTGCTAGTGTAACCTCCCAGCAGAAGTTAATATTTAAAATTCATTTGCAAAATGTTTATTTCAGACCTTATATTTATATTTCCTTTTATTTCTTTTACTATTATTTCAAGGTTGGACTTTTTAAGAGTTTTTTTAAATCTTCATTCTGTCATTACCTTATGTAAATATTGAAATAACACATCAGCTGTCTTAGATTTTGTTTCATCCTAATATTCTTTTAGTTTATTGATAATTATAGTTTTCTCTTAATTTAAGAAGCAACTCTTGGACTTTTTTCTGATTGGTATCTATATTATATACAGATGCTGCACTGTGAAGCTAGAACTGATAGCTTAGGCTTCTTTGTGAGCAGCTTATTGAGATTTGGCCTTCAAATCTTTTAATCTTTATTTTTAAATAAAAATTTTACTTGTCCTTCTAACTTGCTCAGCAAAAATGATCAACTTATGATTGTGAAATTTGAGTTGAGAGTATATTTTAGTAATGTTTAAAATATTTGGTGATAATAACACTTGTGTGTTTTAAATACATGAAGTTGATCCAAATAGAAAGTTTGCATATTCTGTTTCCCCAAACTGAATAACAGACAGAGGTGGGTGGTGGCAACCATTATGTATTCAAGCTTTCTCAAAAACAGAAAACATATTAGTATTTAGTCAGGTGCATATGTGACTCATTTTATTTCAAAGCAACAAGTGGGAAACCTCTGATAGCATATTAGAGAAAAAAAATATTTGGGCTGGGGTTGTGGCTCAGTGGCAGAGCGCTTGCCTAGCATGTGTGAGGTACTGGGTTTGATCCTCAGCACCACATAAAGATATGTGTCCATATACAACTAAAAATATTAACAAAAAATTAATTATTTCCTTTTTTTCCCCCCATTTAGAGGTCAAAGGCAAATATTACTTTTTGCTTTGATTAAAATGTTACTTTACATTGTTTAGATAGAACAGTTCCGTGTCATAAATTTAAGTAAGTGATATAATTTTTATATAACACGTTCAAATGAAATAGAATCTCTTCCTGTGTGAACACACACACACACACACACACACACACACACACACACACTAAATGGATATAAAAGGTATATTTGGCAAAATCAGCATAATAGAGTTTGAAATAGGCCTTCTTGGTTTGCCTGTTACAAAGATTTATTCTATGAAAAACATTTAATTTAAAAGTTCTTTCTAGAAATTTCTCTTTTTAAATAAATCCAATGTGAAAAAAGAAAATAGTATCGATAATCTGAATTTCCAGGTGAAATGTAAGTAAAAATTCTTGACCTTGTGCCAGATTTGGAAAGTATGTTATTGGTTTGCTCCTCGTCTGGCATTTTCTAAATGTCACCAATTGGGGAGGAATAAAATTAGAGTGTTGTATCTATTTGCATACATTCTTTTCATTTTTTGCTTCTTTGCAGACATTAGGGTCAAACTTCTTTTTTTATTTACCTGTCAGTCTTAGATGTGAGACTTAAACAAGAAAAGGTAAAATAGAACACTGGTAATAAAAACACTAAGGAAAAGTTGATTAGACATTAGTAGACATCTTTTTTAACATGATTTTGGATATATAGGAAATATGGTTCAATCATTACAAAAGTTGTGGATGTTTGTACTCCTACCTCAATTTGGTTTTCTTTTCCCCCAAGTCAGTACTTTCTCTTGCTCGCTAACTTTCCTACATTTTAGTTATTCCTGTAGTTTTTTTAAAAATGAAGATATGTTCTGAAGTATAAAATAATGATTAAATTTATTAAATGATTAAAGTCTCTGATATAGATACATGTCACTGATATAAAAATTTTGTGCAATTTTTGGCATATTTTGAGCTCATTTTTTGGATTCACAATAGCAGAGCTGGATATTAAAGAAGATTTTTAGATGTCATCTTCCCGTGTATCTGGGAATTCTTGTCATTGTTCATTAAGATGGGAGGAAACTCTTGTGGGAGGATTCAGGGATCTGCTCAGCTGAAAGATGTTCTATTCCAATTCAATGGAATGAATTGTACCATCCCAGCATGTCAAGTTTCTGATGGCTTCTCTCTGCCATTTTATGACAGTTTAATTTCTGAATTATATTTTTGGGAATCACCTAATTTATTATTTATAATCTTCTTAAAAATTGATATGTGAAAATTCCAAAGAGATGGCATACTTTTTCAGATAATAATTATTCTAGCATGTTTAATAATTTTTTCAGTGTGCTATAATTTTTACCATTTTTTGGGGAAACCATTTCTGAAATTGACAGAGACAGACTTGCAGATATATTATGGTTATTTTTAAAATTATGTATTCTATACTTAATATACTAAAACATTTTATATTTAATTGCAGATTTTAGAAAGAAAGAATAAAGAAACCGAAGAATTGAAAGCTTTATACAAAAAGAAACAAAATGAAGCTGACGAGACTATAAGAAAGCTTGAAAAGAAAGGTTATATTGTGATTTTTTTGTAAATCTTTAATAATATTTTTATTTTAGTGATTATCAAATTTGAAACTAAAATTTAATTACTGGCTTTTTGTTGAGTTTTTATCAAATTTATATGGACAAATTTATGTGGGCTTTCATATGACTGGGTATAACTGTGTGTGTCTCTGTGCATACCCATGTATACACATGAAGTGGTAACAACTAGTATTGTGATTGACAGTTGTGAGGATCAGACCTATGGCTTGCAAGGCAAAGAGGAATTTTTTATATAATGTCAAACATTCCAATTTTAGTAATGTAAATCTTGATAATTAATATTTTAAAGAATCTAGGAGCAATAATATATTGAAATGACAGTTTTCTTTATTTATTCCTTCAGGTTTTAAGTGTTTTTTAAGCAATATTCCCCATTTACACATTCTTGAAGACGGACAAGAAAACATTTAATCACGGTTTAAATTAACAATGATTATGGGTGAAAACATCTAAATAAGCAGGCAGTCATGGAAGAAAGTGTTGTAATTTTTGGAGAAAGGAACTTTTGTAAGATTTTTAAAAGTTTGGTAAGATTTAATTAGTTGGAGAAAAGTTCCTCATTTTAGGGTGGGAATGCTAAAATTGGTAAGTTGTGGGAAGGATGCTGCAAAACTGTTTAGCTAGAGTGAGTAACCTATGCATTAACATAAGAATTTTAAAAGATTCACATCCCTGACTTGGGGCTAGCTTAAGCATGGATTTCAGATTTACAAATTTGAACTTATCTTCTAGATGCTGGGAAGGCAGTGACTTTTGAAGTGTGAACTTTAGGACCTCATATTTTAGGTACTATAGGTTGGTAATGATGAGTGTGTTGAACATGGAGACAGAATGGGAGGGGGTAGGGAATGAGCATTCCACTCATTAGAAAACATAGGATCTCATTCAGTTGTGCTCTTCATTATAAGATACTGAGATCAGAAAAAAGAATATGTAAAGTTCCTTCTAACTCAAAGATGTTCAGGCTTCTGCACTAGTGTAATTTTGCATAAGAAATGATAAGGACCCAGAATATCTGAGGCATGGCAGCGTGAGTTGTGAGAATGGACCTGAAGAAAAAGTTTTGAAGAGTGAGGATTTGTGAATGATAGGCTATAGGCAATGAGCTAGTGTTAGGGGAAAGGAAAGTTTTCTTCAGGAGTTTGAAGAGCTTAGTGGCTCTCACCTAGATCACCAAATATGAATGTGTGTAAGTAATGTTCTTAACAATTTAGGATGGCAGTTACATATATAAATTAACTAATGAAGTAGACATTTTTAAATTAATTTCCAGCTTTAAATATTGGTGAAAGTAATTAGAAATTTCTTTCATGTGTTTTTCTCCAAATATTATCAGTAACTACAAAAATAATTTAAATTTATTTCTAGATTTTCTTTCTTACCCTGATTGAAACCAAGTAATTCAGAGATGCTTAAGGTTTAAAGAGAAGAATTTGAATTCTTAAAATAATGCTTCTAAAGCCTTTTGAATTGTATTCAGATCTTACTTAATGTTGGAATTGTCATGTAAACCATGTTGTAGATGCTACAGACCAGTACTAAATTAATTTGGATTCATCTTCTTCCTTTATGTATTGCATAGTTGAGATTAAGAGTGAAAGAAATTTCTAGGGAAATGTTTTAGAACATTCTGCTGTCTGAAAAATATATTCAGTAATTAAGAAAGGATATATTGAAGTAAAATATGGAGCTGAATTTATATTATCCAGATAACATGAATATATTAAACACATTTTCACTTAAATCAGTGACAGTTTAAATAATTTTAGGAAAGAAGATAGAAATAAAAATGATTTATAAGGAAAATATTATTTGTTTATTTATTTCAGTGCTGAGGATCAGACCCATGGCTTGCTAGGCAAAGAGAAATATTTTATATAATGTAAAACATATTCCAATTTTAGTAATATAAACGGTGATAATTAATATTTTAAAGAATCTAGGAGCAATAATATATTGAAATGATAGTTTTCTTTGTTTATTCCTTCAGTACATATCTTTTGGAGAACTTGCTTGTGTGGCTCTGTTATGCCCTGTAGATAAAAAATTGAAATACCTTTTTCCTTAGTGAAAATAGTCTTGTTAAAGAGGAAATAGGCAAGTAAATTCTTATACTGTCATAAGTGACTCAATGGAAAAATATATGTTCTTTTGTGGAAATAAAAAGGAGTTTCTGTTTCTGTAAGGAGAGGAATCTGCTTGGTGAATAGTGCACCAAGGTGATTCTTGAATTGAGACTCTGAGAATGAGCAGGAATTTTTGTTTTGTTTTAAACAAGGGAGGGAAGGATATTTCAGGTAGATGGATATAGAGATAGTGATTTATGAAAGAATATGTTCTCAAGACTCTGCAGATAGATTGGTGTATTTTAGAATACAGGTTTAAAATGCCAAAGTGGGAAGAGAAGTGTCCATAGAATCCTTGGATCATGAGGAGCTATGATTTCCATGTTAGAGGCTTTTGGCCTTCATCCTTTAGGTGAGGATATTTGTGGAATGATTTTCAGCCTGGGAGAGACATTGGATTTGTACTGTTGAAAGCTCCATTTAAAGCAACAATGGACAACAATTAGAGGCAGAATGTTACTTGAAGATGGCACACTGTTAACATTTTTCAACCAAGGCTCTTTATGATGTTAGTCACAAATTGAGAAAAAGGGCAAAGAATAAGAAAAATTTTAGAAGAAAGAATTGAGAATTCTTGGTAAAAAATTGAATTATCTATTAAGTGGTATACTATATTTTATATCATCAAACTCTTATTTGGTTTCTAGCATTGGTTTAACTATATTTTCATCATTTTTGACAGTTCAGACCCTTATACGTGACTGTCAAGTTATCAGAGAGACTAAAGAAAACCAGATTATAGAGCTAAAAAAGATATGTGAACAAAGTACAGAATTTCTGAATAATGATTGGGAAAAAAAGGTAAGCTCCCTAAAATAGTAATAGAAAATATGAAAGAACATGCTTCAGAGTAATACATTTAACTGTAAAAGTAATGGATTTCACAGAATATACAGAAAGGTATAATAAAGAGAATTAAAATAATTTAAAATTCTAGACCAACTAGAAATAGCTACTGTTAAAGTTTTGGTATATTTCTTTCTAGAGGTCTATGGTCTGTAAAGTAATTTTCATTTTGAAAACATACTTTTGACTTAATTCTTGTGTTTAATTAATTTTCTTATTTTTTTGTCATAGTCAATAGGTTTTTAAGCAAAATTGTTAAGGAAATATCAGTTTTAATCTTGGATTTTGGCCATTTCTTTCTGAAAAATCATACAACATATAATGTAATCCAGACTAGAATTTATAGTCTAAACTTGTTTGGATGTGAACAAAATCACTAGTGCATGGGTCATAGCACTGAGATATAGGTGCTATGGGTTTGGCTATGCCTTATACCACCCAGTTCACTCATTTTTGAATACTGGACAAAATACTACTTTTAAGATGTGCAGTTCAAAAATACAAATAAAATATATTTAGAGGGACTTGAGGGACTGCCTACAAGTAGTCAAAACTGCATATGTTAATTTGTGAACCACAAGAGTCTTCTGTGTGGTTACTGCTGAGCCATCCTGAGCCATTTCTCAGTCTTCTGTTTCTCCAGTGTCTTCCTAGTCAAATAAGCATTCACAATGCCTGTGCCATGTCCTTGTGTCTCTCTCATGTTCATGAATAGTGAAACAAATAGATCATTTAGGCTATTTTGGACTCCAGCTCTCCCTGCTTGGTGAGTGGGGTTGAATTCAGGCAGTAAGAATCCCATGCCCATGAAGAGAACGGAAGGAATGCCTAGAGGCTGAGAGCACAAATTTTTCGCTCTCTTCCCTTGAACTATTCATTGAACCTTGTTTGGACCTTTAGAATTTACTTTTTTTTTTCTTTACCTTAGTTTACATGGATATTTTAAAACTTTATCCATTTGACAAAGATGTGAAGTCTTTTTGGAGGTTTGAATGGCAAAGAAGCATTTTTTACATTAATATTGTGTAAAATTTTATGCAAATAAGATGAGAAATATGGATAATATTCCTAATCAATAACAATATAAAAACTTGGAATGGAACCATCATTTGACCCATTTGGCTTATACCTAAAGGACTTAAAATCAGCATATTATATTGATGTGGCTACATCAATGTTCATAGCAGCTCAATTCCCAGTAGTTAAAATATACACAGTGGAATATTACTTAGCCATAAAGAAGAATGAAATTATGGCTGTTGCAAGTAAATGGATGGAACTGGAGACTGTCATGCTAAGTGAAATAAGCCAATCCCAAAATTCCAATGTACTCTTTGATATGTAAATGCTGACTCACAATGGGGTGGAGAATGGAGATTCACAGGATTAGACATGCAGAGTGGGGGGAATGGAGTGGAAATTGGAATGGGAAAGATAGTAGAATGAATTGAACATAACTTTCCTATATTCATATATGAATACACAACCAGTGAAACTCTACATCATGTACAACCATAAGAATAGGAAGTTATACTCCATGTATATATGATATGTCAAAATACATTCTACTGCCTACATGAAGAACAAATTAAAAAATAACAACATGAAGATTACTGTTTCTCTTATTTCAGACTAATATTTTTAAGCTGAGGTATGGTATTATCTGATTTATTTACCCTTTCTACCTGAGGTATGAGATTTCCATTAATATTTGCTCATTGATTAAAACTTTCAATTCAGGAAGGCAACTGAAAATGTTTCTTAATTATGCTCTTTATGTGTCATCTTAACTTTCTTGTGGGTTTTATGTTTTTTGTAGTTACATCACCATATACATATATAGTGATATATATACACACAAAAAATTGTCTCTATATATATTTATGTATAAATATATACATATGCACATATCTATTCATCTATCTATACACAGACATACAGGAATATTGGAAAATGTTTATTTTCTGAATTGCAAAGTCGTCTTTTCCAAGTAGTAAAAGCGTCTTGGTTTCATTGTGTAGCTCCACAGTGCTGTAGCAGAAATGGAAAAGGAAAAATTTGAACTTCAAAAGCGACACACTGAAAATATTCAAGATTTGCTTGAGGATACAAATGTACGTCTGAATAAAATGGAAGGTGAATACATGGCACAAACACAGGCTACAGTAAGTCCTTTTTTAATTTTTTTAAAAACATTTTTAGAAACTGTCTTCTTAATCTTCATGACCTCATGCTTCACTGGTGTGCACTGTGTGTAAGTGTGCTGCTGAACTAAGAAAAAGCTTTATCTTCTAATATTAGTCAGCTTTTTTTGCTGTGAGCAAAATGCCCCACAAGAAAAATTTAGAAGAGACAGAGTTTATTCTGGCTCACTGCTTCAGAGGGTTAGTCCCTGGTTAGCTGAGCCCATGGCTCTGAGGACAAAGTGAGGCAGAACATCATGGCAGAGGGGCACGGCGGAAGAGTGCTGCTAATCTCATGGTGGCTGGGAAGCAGAGAAAAAAGAGAAAGGTCCCCAGAGAAAATAAACCCTTTCAGGGCAAACCCCCAGTGACCCACCTCCTCCAGCCACACTTCACCTACATGCACTTACCACCCTGCTAGTCCATTCAAACTAGGATGGACTGATTAGGTCACACTTATAATCCAAGCATTTCAATTCTGAACATACTTGCATGAACAGGAGTTTTTGGAGGGAGATACCTTGTATCCAAAATGTAATACATTCCTACTTGCTATAGATTTACGTGTGACAGTGGACTGTTAGTTCCTTGAAGGGATTTTACTCTAGAATGTTTGATGCCATTTTTATTTTAAATCCTCAGAGGGTTTTACAAATCTTTCTTTTTCTTTCCCCCGTTGTTGTTTAGTTCAGAGATAATCTTTCTTTCTTTTTAAAAATTCTTTTAAGCTAAACTCTTGGTTGATTTCTTTCTGAAAATATTTATTGCTAATGTGATAGTCATAAAGGAAGATAGGAATTGCCTGACCGCTCTGACAGATTTCCTTGGTAGATGATCTTGACTAAGAAACCGTGCATCCATCACTTGGGTAAACTCGAAAAGTTCCCTTTAGTAGGAAGGTCATCATAGCCGGACTATCCAGCACAAAGGCCATGGGCATTATCCAAAGTGACGTGGAGGTTCCCTCCAGAGAGCCTCCTCATTGAACACACTGGTGTAGAGTAGAGGTCAGAGGGAGTGAATGTCTTCAGCCTTGAATTCCTAATTCATAAGACTGGTAGGTTCATCTACATGTATGGATCAGGGCTTCCCTTATCCAAGGCAAGTGTACCTCATCAATCTGGTTACTGATGTTTAACATGACATCATGGCACTATCCAGAGTTGGATTCCAGGCATCAACCCACTCCTCATTTATCATTCACAGCTGCCTCAGCCAGATGGCTGGGTCCAAGTACTTTCTTGAACTTAACACTGTGGAATTTGAATAGGAATCAGTTACCTCAGCATATGATAGATATTGTCTTAGTTACCTGGGCCCTTAGACAAGTCCTATCTCAAAGGGTAAAAGAAATGGGAAGTGATATACATAGTGGTTTGGAACTGGACTTTAGGATTAGTCTTTTGAGTTCAAATTTCAAATCCTTCATAACTTGGGAGTCATGTTAACTCTTCAAATATAAATCTTCGTTATCTATGGGTTATGATAACGATAGAATTAAATAAAGTTGTTCAAATTATTAAATAAATTAATATACATAAGTTAAATTGCCTGATAAGCACTTAGTATACAATTATCTTTGAAAATGCAATGTACAAGAATAACAGAGACGTGTAAATGAGAAAAGAAAGGCTCAGTCTAAGAAGTTAATCAACATTTGCTTGAAGATGAAGCTGAGGCCTCATTCCCTCCTAAGGAAGTAACAGGAAAGAGATAAAGAAAAAGGCAGAAAACCAGCCGGACAAAGGGAATGGGAGATTAATATAATTTTTGGAGTTTACAAAAGCCTACGGCCACTGTTGAACTCCCACTAGCAATTTCCCATTTGTGATAGCAAAGCCTTACTAGTCCTACAGGAAATGTTACATTGGAGAGAACATTCTCCGTAGATTAAAGTACATGAGCAAATAGGGTGTAGGGGAGAGATGATTTTTTAAAAATATTTTTTTAGTCATAGAAGAAAACAATACCTTTATTTTATTTTATTTATTTTTATGTGGTGCTGAGGATTGAACCTAGTACCTCACACAAGTGAGATGACCGCTGTATCACTGAGCCCCAGCCCCATTATCTTTTAATGAAGAAAGTTCTTTATCAATCTTTTGTAATTAGTGCTTTTTATATCTTGTTAATACAATCTTTCTCTATTGTAAGTGAAAGAAGACTGACTTCTATATTCTACTAAGAATACTGAAGTTTTGATTTTACACTGAGGCTTCAATAACTCTCATGTTAGTTTTCATGACTAGTATAAGATAGGTATCTAATTTCATTATTTCCTCTGTGGTTGGCTATTTTTTTCCAGCTTTACTTTTTTGAGTAATGCTTCCTTTCTTTGTTGATGTCATGGCCATTTTTGTACATAAAACTTCCATATATATGAAGATCTCTATTCTAATTGGCACATTTCTCTGGCTCAACTAATATTATGCCGTCATCATTATTATAGCTCATAATTACTCTTTATATCCTCCTGGTCCATCAGAATAATCTTGGCTACTCTGAGCCCTTTCTTTTAACATATGCTTTTAGATTCAGTTTAACTGAGTTAATAAGGAAGCAGAACTCTGAGAACATCTTTCCTTTAAACATCTTTTGTAATATTTTATACCTGTCTCAGACTTTTGTTATATACAAGTTTTATACATTTGCTGTATAAGAATAAACATATAGGTAAGTCTTACAGATTTTAACTCTTTGCATGAATGTAGCAAATATTTTAATTTATTATACATTGAACAGAACTTACATAAAATGTTAAATAATAGTAGCAATAGTGTTTTTAAAACTTTTTTTTTCTTATTGCAGAAGATACACATGCTCATTATTAAAAATTTAGAAAAGGTATGGCAAAAGAAACAAAATTAATGTCCATAATAAAATTACCATTAGCAAAAATATATATGATTGTCTATTCCTCTACTTTTTAGTCCAATGCTGGGTGTTTAAATTAAAACAAACAATCCAAAACTTTGCTAATTAAATAGTGTGTTTGTTTCCTAGGGCTTCCTTATCAAATTACTACAACTTAGGTAGTTTAGAACAGGAGATATTTATTGTGCCAACAGCTTCAAAGACTGGAAGTACAGAATTGAGGTATCAGCTGGAACCTGCTCTCTCTGAAGGGGTTAGAAGAAGACAAAGATTCTGTCTTGCCTCTTCCTAGTTTTAGGTGGTGGCTGTCAGTTCTGGACATTCCTTGGCTTACCACTGTGATATTCCAGTTTCTGCCTCTGCTTTCATTTTGGGTTCTCCTGTGTGTCTCTGTGTGCCAGTGTCTTAACATGGTCTTCTTATAAGGATAGCAGTCATTGGATTTAGGGCCTACCCTAATCCAGAATCACTTCACACTAACTTGATTACTTCTGTAAAGACCCTATTTCCATCCAAATAAGGTCATATTTATAGTAGTGGGGGTTGGGTTTCAGTGTGTCCTTTTGGAGGACACACTTCAACATAAAACAATAGGTAAGAAATGTTATTCTACTTGTTATTACTGTTAAATGGAAAATATTGAATATTAAGTCATTGGCTTTGAAAAGAAGAAAGACTTAATATGTACATTATAGATTCTTGTAAAATGATTGTATATTCCATTTTGTTACAGACATTAGGTTTCTTAAAGTAAAATTTGGGACTTTGCCAGTTAACAGAACCAGTATGGTATGGCCTTTTTTTTTGGTCGGGGGGGCTATATTTTTAAAATTTTAATTTTTAAATTCACTTAAAATAAAATAATAAAACCATTGCATATAAACACATATAATGATATTATGATAACTATAAATATAAAAGAAAAATATTTCAGTGAGACGTCTGCTGTTTCTTTACATTTTTGTAAATTCTTTTAACCTTTGGCTTAATAGAAGACAACTGAATTCTCATATCTGTTTTTGCACTTATTTTGATATCTCATCGCATGTAGTGTTTGGAAAACTCCTTGGTAATGAAAAAGGCAAAATTGCTTTGATCCCATAAACTCAAGTAAAGAATCTTGGGGAATCTCAGGAGTTTGTTGACCACACTTTGAGAACTACTGTTGCTCTAAGCCATTGGTTTACAAACATTTTGGACAATGACTTCCAGTAAAAAATAAATTTTGTAAATTGTGTCTCAAACATACATGTATAAGAACACATACCCCCTGCACATTTATAACTCAAATGAAAGTTTCAATTTTGCTATTTGCTGTTCACTCTTGATAGGTTCTATCATTTTTATTTTCTTTTAATTTCATTAAAAATTTTCCAGTTTGTGGTTTACAACTTGATTTCACACACTGGTCAAGATCAATGGTTTAAAATCACTGGTATAGGGAGTATATATTAAAGAAAATAATTTCTATTTCTGTTGTGTGCATTCCAAAATGGTTCCTCCTATTTATGTTCCCGTTCAACTAAATATGAGAGTCATCTTTTTAAATTCTTGCCACACTTGGAATTATCAAATTTTATTTTTTTTCCTGACTTGTAAAATGTCATGTTTTAATTTTTTTTTTTTTTTTTTTGTGGATATTTTGTTTCTTGGTTGTTTCAAGTTGCTTATTTATCCCCTTTGTTGTTTTATGATTCCGTTATTTGTCTTTTTCTTAGGTTTGAAGGATATTTCATATATTTAGGATTCAGGTACAAACCAATTGTCAGGGTTTTTCCTCTCTCTTTTATTTTATTGTGATAAATATCCATGATATAAAATTTATCATTTTAAGCATTTTATGTGCATAGCTCAGTGACTTTTAAGTGCCTTGACATTTTTGTGCGATCATCATCACCATGCAGATCCAGATTTTTTCATCTCTCTCAGCTGAACCTTTGTACCCATGAAACACTCATCTTGCTCAGCTGAAGCTCTGTACACATAGAACTCTTCATTTGTTGTTCTCTTCCAGCCTCTGGCAAATACCCTTCTATTGTCTATGAATTGGCCCTTCCAAATGTGTCTCCTAAGTGCTTTCATATAGTATTTGCCTTTTTGTGATTGGC